GATTCAGCTGCTACTCATCTCATAACAAGGCAGACAATAGCTCCTTGCTTCTCCTGCATCTCATTCGCCATAACTCGTCCTGAGACCTCATTTGCATAGTCGAGCTGCTTGTCCCTCCTAGGTCAATGAAACTCCAAAGCTCGCTCTCCTGATGATTCGTGTCCTTTGCCGAAGAACTTCTCAACCAGGTACTCCCAGTAGATGGTGTCAAATGCCCAGCTCTTTCTCATGGAATAATCAAGTCAGAAACGGCCAGTTACCCAGCTTTCCCGCATGTGTGGTGACAAGGGAGATGTTAGCAGGAAATATGCGCCCTTCCCTGCTTCTTCCATCTCCGAAAGCCAGATTTCGAGTTGTTCCTCATATGTGGTTGCCCAACGGACGATTCGTCGTGCGACGTACTTGTTCCTACAGCGTCGCCATCTGCATGTCAAATAGTTCCATCTACCACTCATCGCCTGTCCGATCCGTGGCCCCCCCAGGCGAGAAGATAAGCTGGGAAACAATGAAGAGATGCACCATGTTTTTCATGCTGATAGCGATGGGACGCCCAGGTATTTCGTACATCGAGGCCATAGTTGAAGACCTCCGGGGACGCGCATTGTATACCATGCGCCACTGATACTTAGACGATGCTTGAGCAGTCAACTGTAGCCTCCGGGCCAGCGACTGGCAACGTCTGTATTCATCGACGAGCCTGGATCTAAAGAGAGGTACTATCAACCAAGCGTAGTTTCAGTCGGCAGTTTATTTCTCAATATGATGTCGGTGGGTGTATAAGGAAGAGCCCAAATGAAAGCTCTTCATGACCGTCATGGCGAAATCCAACAGAGTTTTGAAAAGCGAAAAGAATATTCAACATCAGGTTTCCGCTGGTAGCCAACCACCGGACAAGAAATCTGCCCTTCACGGACTATAGTTCTATTTCTATGTATTAATGGGCCTCAGCCGACACGGGCATCAATCATTCGTTCCCGCTGCCTGGAACACTGACCATAAGTGATCGTGTGTAGTAGGGCATGTCGAATGTGCCAGCTGCCCTTTTTGCTTATATTCAGCACAGCACTACTATGCATTATTTCGTTGTACATTATTGCATCTGCACTATAAAAAGGATGGACGGATCATCGCTCTGGATCTGGGTAAACCTCCAACACTAAGATCCATGGATGCATGTTGCAGATGTGTGAGACACTCTTATTGGATACCCCGAACCAGGATCTCGGTACCAATTCCAACCCCTGCTGCATGATAAGGTCGTGTCTTTTTTTTTCCATCGCTATACATTAAACAGTAGTTCCCCGCCGTGATTCACTCCAGACCACGTTCTCGCCATCAATTCCAATCGACCTGGCTCATCAGCCAAGCGTATGCGATGGAGAACAAGGTAGGCTACCAAAAGTCGCCTACAGAGCGCGAGGATGACATCGACGAGAGGCGGTCGACATCGCCAACTACCAGCGACGACTACGGCAATGGACTGCGACTAGGCGGCACGGGCCAGGACTGGCGTGATATGCAGCGACTTGGCAAGAAACAGCAGTTCAAGCGCAACTTCTCACTGTGGTCGGCCTTGGGCTTTGTCGCCATCTACATGGCAACCTGGGAGTTTGTTCTCGTCTCGCTGTCCGTCGGCTTCACGAATGGCGGGTTCGCTGGGCTCTTCTGGTGCTTCATCACCACTACCGCCGCCTATTCCACCGTCGTCTTCTCCCTCGCCGAGATGGCGTCTATGGCGCCGACGTCGGGAGGGCAGTACCACTGGGTCTCCGAATTTTCGCCTCCGTCGTACCAGAAGGTGCTTTCGTACGCGTCTGGATGGATGACAACGCTGGGATGGCTTGCCAGTCTCGCCAGTAGTGTCTACGTCCTTGCCTACCAGGTCCAAGCCTGTATCAACGCCACGAACCCAGAGTACGCCTTCAGCAGCTGGCAGATCACCCTCCTCATGTGGGCCATTCTCTTCCTCACTGTCATGTTCAACACCTACGGAACGCCATTCTTCCCCCAGCTCGAGACTGCGAGTCTGATCGGTCACATTGTTGGCTTCTTCGTCGTCATGATTCCGTTGTGGGTGCTGTGCGACAAGAACTCTGCCCGAGACGTCTTCCTGACGTTTCAGGACCAGAGCGGATGGGAGAACATGGGCGCTGCGTACTTGACAAGTCAGATCTACATCATGTGGTGCTGCTTCGGCTCCGATAGTGTTGTACACATCGCTGAGGAGGTAGAGAACGCATCGATCGTGGTGCCGAGAGCCATGGTATGGTCATATCTTGGCAACGTGTTCTTTGGGTTCATCATGCTCATCACAATGCTGTTCTGCATCGGTCCTATCGAGGATGTGGTAAGTTTCTCTCCTGACTCTCGTGCGTCAGGTCGTACTACAGGCAATACTAAACGTATCCCCAGATCGAATCCGATTGGCCCTTCATTGTTCTCTTCGACAGGACGGGCTCGAGCGGTCTGAACCTGTTCTTCAACATTCTGCTCTGGGTGCTGATCTACCTCGGCAACATCACCGCTCTGGCGACTTGTGCTCGCGAGACGTGGGCTTTTGCCCGAGACAAGGGTCTTCCCTTTTCCGGCTTCATCGGACACATGTAAGATTCTCCGATCGCCGCCAGACAGTAGTATGCCTTTCGCCGTCCCATCGCTGACATGACTTGAACAGGGACAACAAGTGGAAGATTCCCTTCAACTCCGTGTACGTCATCTCTGGCGTCTGCGTTCTCCTGAGCCTCATCCAAATCGGCTCCGATGCCGCCTTCAATATCCTCGTCTCCCTGTCTACTCTCGGCCTCATGAGCACCTACATGCTCAGCATCGGCTGCGTCCTCCTCAAGCGCATCAAACACGAGCCCCTCCCCCCGGCACGCTGGAGCCTTGGACGCTACGGCCTAGCCATCAACGGCTTTGCTTTCCTTTACAGCGGCTTCATCATTGTCTTCTGTTGCTTCCCTCTGTCTCTGCCCGTGGGCGTAGCCGATGCGAATTGGGCGCCTCTCATCTGGGCAGCCGTCATCGCTCTTGCCACCGTCATGTACTTTGTGCAGGGGAGGAAGACGTATACTGCGCCTGTTGATTTTGTGGAGGGCAGGAAGGCGGAGGGAGTAGAGCTACAACAGTCTACTTGAAACTGGGTGTGAGGGGGTGCTTATTAGAGATGTCTCCGTAGCTTGAAGCGTGGCAATTGGCCTTATTGGTTTTTTTACCATGCTGACACGTGGTGGAGACCGTGACGGCGTTCTTGGAGATTGAACGCAACCCCGCGAGAAAAATGAGGACGACAACAGGAACCTCATTCATTCGGGGTCAGATCAGTAACCATGGAAATCGCAGGCAAAGATGGCTTCATCATGCCTTGCTCACAGACGAGGGAAGATTCCCCGAGGGGCTGTATAATTGGAGGGCCCAGGGGCAAAGAAGAAGGGACGGTAAGAGGCCATATATGTCAAGGTCCGGAGACAAGCCGTCACGACCGCACGGCAGGTGGGAAGGGACCCTCATGCCAAGGATACGTGTCAGGAACCTGCAAGACCAGTTGTGGCGATGTTGAGTCTCCATGTTGGGGCGTCAGTGGCTTGCGGATGGATTTGCTGTGATTGATGGTGTCGTTGAATGACGACGAAATTTATCACAACTCAACATAGGCAACTCTGGACGGAAATGAAATGATAGATTGTTCAAGGTTGAGATAGACGCGTGCGTCGTTCGATATTCGATGTTCAGGCCTCGGTGAGAAGATGGTCAAGGCTCGGTGACGATAGATAGTACCTGGTCTGATAAGAAACGACAATGAGTGGGGCAGCGATACCGGTCACAAATTCCAGCTCCCAAGTGCCGACTCACAGCTTCGACTCATCTATCTTGCCCATCCAACACTCACCCAATTGGTACCAGAAGACGCCAATTCACGCCAGTTTTTCTCCCAGGCGTGCCTGGAGCACCCCTCAAGCGATCATGGCCGCCTCATTCAAGGCACTGCCTCAGCAATTGACCCTGACCCGCTCCTTCGCCCGCTGCTACTCCGTCTCCGCCGAGAGCATCCCGGCGGCCAAGAAGAAGTATGTGCCTACCGAGGGCAGCTACCCGCAGGGATTCCAGGCGAGCGGCATCCTCGTGGGCGTCAAGCCGGGCAACAAAACCAAGCCCGACCTCGCCTTCCTTACCTCGGACCGCCCGTGCGCCGCCGCCGCCGTCTTCACGAAGAACAAGTTCCAGGCGGCGCCCGTGACGTTCAGCCGCGACCTCCTCAAGCGCCGCGGCAACCGTGGCATCCGCGGCGTGCTCATCAACTCGGGGTGCGCCAACGCCGTGACGGGCAAGGGCGGCCTCGAGGACGCGTCGCTCATGGCTAAGGCGGCGGACGAGCAGCTCGGCGGCGAGGACGGCGCGGGCTCGTCGACCATTGTCATGAGCACGGGCGTCATCGGGCAGAGGCTGCCGATCGACAAGATTGTGGGCAACGTCGGGGCAGCACACGGGGCGCTGGGCTCGGGGCACAAGGACTGGCTCGCGTGCGCGACGGCCATCTGCACGACGGACACGTTCCCGAAGCTCATGTCGAGGACCTTTTCGCTGCCGTCGTCGCCGGGCGTCGAGTACAGGATGGCGGGCATGACCAAGGGCGCCGGCATGATCCACCCCAACATGGCCACGCTGCTGGGCGTCGTGGCGACCGACGCGCCCATCGCGCCGGGCGTCATGCCGTCGGTGCTCAAGCACGCCGTCGACAGGTCGTTCAACAGCATCACGATCGACGGCGACACGTCGACCAACGACACGGTGGCGCTGCTCGCCAACGGTGCCGCCGGCGGCCAGGAGATCAGCTCTGTCGACTCGCCCGACTATGCGGCCTTCCAGACTGTGCTGTCTGATTTCTCTGCCGATCTCGCCAAGCTCATTGTCCGCGACGGCGAGGGTGCCACCAAGTTTGTCACCATCCGTGTCGTTGACTCGGCGAGCGAGGAGGCGGCACGCAAGGTGGCCAGCACGATCGCGCGGTCGCCTCTTGTCAAGACGGCACTGTACGGGCGCGATGCCAACTGGGGCCGCATTCTGTGCGCCACGGGCTACGCTCTCATCTCGGAGCCGGGCCAGGACATCAACGAGGTGGCCTCGATTGTGTCGGAGAAGACGAATGTGTCGTTCGTGCCTACAGATGGCAGCGCTGAGCTGAAGCTGCTGGTCAACGGCGAGCCGGAGACGGTGGACGAGGCCCGCGCCTCGGAGATTCTGGAGCTCGAGGACCTGGAGATCCTGGTCAAGCTGGGGACGGGCGATAAGCAGGCAACGTATTGGACATGCGACTACAGCCACGAGTACATCACCATCAACGGCGACTACCGAACATAGAGGGGGGACCCTGGAGTTCTGGAGGGGAGATTGTTCGTATGAAGTGGTTCGATGGTTGTATTTGGTAGCACTGCTTGGTATTCCAGCCTATAGACTGTTCATGGCCTGTTGGATGTACCTTGTCTTCATCCTCTGTTGATTGGGCTGTGACTTCGGGATATAATTCCAGGACCCTCACCCATTGGTGAACCCCCCCGTTGCCCCCATTCGCAGCGGCGTTCGAGGTTCGGGGCTAGTACAGTCAGCAGCCGAGGCCCAGAGGCGGGGGAATGGCACCACCCCCTGGACCTTCTGCAGGCTACAGGCGGCAAACCCCAGACAAAGCTGTTCTTAGCGGCCAGATCCCCGCCCCAGCCCGCCTCGGCCGGGGGTCTCATCTCCAATTCGAACCTCGGCTGCCGACCTCTACTTCATCTACCGTGTCCCACTTGCTGCCTCTGCATCTCCATTCTGAGAGCTTTCATCAACATTCGCGACGGGAGCCATCTAAATTCACGACCTGAAGGACCCAGTCTCAACTCCACAACCCTCTCTACCTCTCCCACCAGAAGCCAAGCAGCACCCTTTCACAATGACGTCCAAAGTCCCTGCGATTGTGAGCATCGCCCCTCCCTCCACTGCAGGAATCGCATGATGTCAGACCTCCTGCTCACACCACGGCCTAGGTTCTCAATCGCCTCAGCGAGCGGGCCAAGGAGACCCTTGACAAGGTCGCCATGTTCGTCGAGGAGGACTGCATCCCGTAGGATCCCCGTTGCCTGCCTTCGCCAGAGAGCGAAGTGTATTGTGTGTGTGTGTGTATGTGCTGAGCTGACCGGTGGAATAGCGCCGACCCCGTTCTCGAAGCACAGATTGGCGAGGGCGACGACCGCTGGAAGAGCCACCCTTCCATCGTCGAGGACCTCAAGGCCAAGGCCCAGAAGCTCGGCCTCTGGAACATGTTCCTCCCCAAGGGCCACTACAAGGAGTCGCCCGGCTTCACCAACCTCGAGTACGGCCTCATGGCTGAGTGGCTCGGCCGCTCCCGCGTCGCCTCCGAGGCTGTCAACTGCGCTGCCCCCGACACGGGCAACATGGAGGTTCTCGCCAAGTACGGTAATGAGGCGCAGAAGGCCCAGTGGCTGAAGCCTCTGATGGACGGCAAGATTCGATCTGGCTTCCTCATGACGGAGCCCGACGTCGCTTCGTCTGACGCGACGAACATCCAGCTGAGCATCCGTAAGGAGGGCAACGAATACGTTCTGAACGGCTCCGTAAGCACTGTGACGCACCGAACGAGCAAATAGTGCCCACCCCCCTCTAACGTTTCCCAGAAATGGTGGTCCAGCGGTGCTGGTGACCCCAGGTGTTCCATCTACATCGTCATGGGCAAGAGCGACCCCAACAACAAGGACCCCTACAGGCAGCAGTCCGTCGTGCTTGTGCCCGCCGATACCAAGGGCATCACTATTCACCGCATGCTCAAGGTTTACGGCTATGATGACGCCCCCCACGGCCACGGCCACATCACCTTCAAGGACGTGCGCGTTCCCGTCAGCAACCTCGTTCTCGGCGAGGGCCGCGGTTTCGAGATCATCCAGGGTCGTCTTGGACCCGGCCGCATCCACCACGCCATGCGCACTATTGGCGCTGTAAGTTTCCTGCCTTCCCTTGCATTTGGCGGATCATGTTTAGGAGATGTGGCTGACCAGATCAGGCCGAGAATGCGCTCGACTGGATGCTCATGCGGATCAACGACCCCTCCAAGAAGCCTTTCGGCCAGCAGCTCGCCGAGCAGGGCGTCATCCTCGAGTGGGTCGCCAAGTCTCGTCTCGAAATCGACGCGGCACGTCTCGTGGTCCTCAACGCGGCCATCAAGATGGACGAGCTCGGCCCCAAGAAGGCCCTCAAGGAGATTGCCGAGGCCAAGGTGCTCGTGCCGCAGACGGCGCTGACAGTCATTGACCGCGCCATCCAGACGTTCGGCGGCGCCGGCGTCTGCCAGGACACGCCGCTGGCGGCGTCGTGGGCGGGCATCAGGACACTGCGGTTGGCGGACGGACCGGACGAGGTGCACCTCAGGCAGATGGGCAAGAACGAGAACAAGAGGGGCAAGGAGGTGACGGACAAGATCAAGGGACAGCAGGCCAAGACGCAGGCGTTGCTGAGCCAGTACAAGGTCCAGATCGCGCAGCCGGGGACCAAGATCAACAAGTCGAGGCTGTAAACGGTTGTGACTCAGGCAGCGCGGGGCCCTCTAGGTTTCACTGTATTGTAAGCGATAGGATGCATCATCTGATGGGACATGGATCTGGGGATGGATAATCGGAAAAGAGCTTCTGCCGTTGTGTCCAATGAAGAGAGCTGATTCGACGAGTCGTACTGTGATTTTCGGCGTGAAGGCCACGATGCGGCCGGTGTCTGTTGAGTTCTGGAACTATGACCCTGACCAGACCTTGACCCTGACCCCTGCCTGCCATTCGAGCCTGATGAGTTGTCAACGAGCTAGGGGACCCGAATGCAACCACGGATGGATGGGAGAGAGAAGTTCTAGTCCATGGTTTCGACGCGGGCGGGCGACTGCCTGTCAATTGCAGTGGCCCTGGGGTCCATTCCAGCAAGTTGGGAGGGGCAACGGATGGCAACGACGCTGCAGCGGGCTGGCCGGGGTCGGGGCCACCTGCTGCATTCCGGGTGGCACTTGACTCCCTGCCGCCCCCTGCACTTTGGCCCTGCCAGTGCCAGGAGCTCCCCCGTTGCCCCGCCGACCGTGAAACTTGGTGTACTTGGCCTCCCGCCCAGCGAGCTCCCAACCCACCAGGTCGGACCTCCTTCGGTGCACTTTTTCACACCTCCTCACCCGATATTACACACAATCCTGTCAACGTCATAACACCTCGTCGCAACAAACAGGACATTCAAATAACAGACCTGGTCCTCCCGCATTGCGCCTCTGCATCCTCCGCTGTTCACACACATTGCGACTACAACCCTTACCACTTCACACCAGACGCTCTTCAACCTCTTCCGCTCGAGTCAGAAAGTCCATCTCCCTTGCTTCCTGTCGCAAGAAACTTTGTGGCTACGGCACACCCAGTCTTATATCTTTGACGCAAAGAACAAGAAAAGAAAAAGACCTCAGCCAAAATGTCTTCCAACGTTCTCGCCGCCAAGGACGTCAACGCCCCCTTCGCCATCGCCGATCAGACCGCCGTCAAGGGCGACGTCAAGAGCATGGAGTACCACCGCCAAGTTCTCCAGAACAAGATGGAGCAGGAGAAGTACGTGCCTTCGCCACCGCGCGACCACCCAGTCCAATGCAAACAGGAACTCGTCCTAACAAACGACACCCACAGGTCCCAGCAGTACATCTCACCCTCCGACAACATCATGAGCCCCTGCTCCGCCAAGCTCAACGCCCTGCGCAACAAGCAGATTGGCAAGTGAGTATTGACGCTTTCTCCTCAGAACTACACTCTCTTTCGGGCTGTACTGACACAAGCCGCAGGGTCAAGCCCAAGTCGCTCTTCGCGCAGGCATCGTCTAAGAAGCTCGATGGCGACGCCCTGTTCGGCGCCAAATCTCGATCCATCCCGAAGGTCAACGACTCCTGAGCACACATGTCCCCTCATGCGTGTCTTTTGCGATTGTTTATGACTCGGGTATCGGTTTTGGGAAAGGTCACGACGGTTCGGTTCTGGGGCGATTACTTCCTTGTGTTTTTTTTACGTCGTCCCTTAGAGGGGGGATACTTTCTCCGTTTTTTGCCTATCCCTGCGAGAGGGTATCGTCATTGGCGTTCAGGGCTTAGGGATCATTGGCCTACCAAGGCGTGTTAGGATAGAGAGAAGGATCACGACACGAAACGAACAAACTCTCGAGGGCTTCCTCTCCTTCCTTCCAGAGGAGGCCCTTTTCTCTCAGGCAATGTATTTACGGGCCTTTATTGATTAGCCTGGCTGCCGGCAAGGCGAAGAAGA